AATTTTAATTTTAATTTAATTTTTTTTCCTGATACATTTCTAGGGTGGAGAAGAATTCTTAATGGTCTTCTCTTATCAAGCATAAAGCTCCATATCCACCAGATCCTGGGGATTCCAACCATCCTGTTCAAAATGAGTTGAATTCTACAATGCATAATGCTGAGGAAACCATTCTAGAGTCTTGTGATCATAATGATCAGTCTCCTCTTCTCACAGGCTTTGAACATAACAGACCTCAAGCCCGAAATTGGGGTAGGTTGATACTAAATAAAGCCACCTATAACCACTCTATTTGTATGTTTCTTAGCAGAACATCATCATTTTAAGTAGTGCTTTATCTCTAGCTACGGTGGTTTTGATGTTTTATGCAGAAGATCCTGAGTTTTCTTTTCCAAACGAGCGGTTTAGTATTGGGATCATTTCTGCTGGATCTATTGATGCGATGGTGATTTGGTATTTTTCGCATTTTATTCATCTTTGCTTTTTGTTCCTTGGGATGCATGAACCCTGCCTTCTTAATACTGTATTCTTTGAGGAATATTTGATTTTCTTGAATACATTTTCACTGAAGTTGTTCTGTGTTTCTTGTTAGCATTTTTCTTCATGCTCTCCTATATTTTGACTTTCTTTTGGATGTTTACGTTGCTTGAAAGTATCGGGTGTCGCATTGGATTAAACCTTTAACCAATTTATATGATGTATGCATCGAGTATGCTGCCCATATATGTTGAGGCAAAATGAGTGACTTTTAGTTTGGTTTAGTGACTTGATCATGCAATCTGAGAAAAAGAAATATAGGAGAATATTAACATTGCATCAAGTTTCCTGATATCTGTATTTGTCTGGCTTTGTAAAGAATTTGAAATTTGCATTTTGTCTGCTTTGTGGATATCTGGGATCAATGAAGATGATATCATTTGCTATCATAACCGAAATCATATCAAATGGAAGCTAAAATCCTGTTATTTGGTGTTGAATAGATAATTTCAAGCACAAATGTATAGTCACGTTAAAGCATAAGTTCATTGTCTTACTAAGTTCATAATTAATGTACTGTAATTCATTACCGAGTAATACTTTTATTTTATTTTATTTTATTGGCCAGTAATATGTTAATAGAAACTTCATAATTTGATTCTGAGTTTTTCGATTTATGTTTTTAATATTACTCTAGCTGTATGTTGTATTGAGCTTACAAAGTCACTAAAATTTAACTTTTGCAGTACCACTGGAGCTCGAGACCATGTAACATCAGCATTGCAGATTGTCCTTGGCAAAAGAGTGAACCTCAATGTTGCCCAAATTGTTAGATGGAAAATAACATCTACTTCGAGCAATGAACCCTGTGTATGCTATGTAGCTTCTTTTGCTGGGTATGTATATATAATTAGTGATCTCTCAGTTTCATTTATTAATTGCACATGAACAGTATTTTTCTCCTCAAAGTTTGCGTGTGATATGAGAAAAATATAATTTGTTCCGAAATTACCTTCGTGTATATACATTACCATAGATTTCAGA